TTGGTTTGGTTTGGTTTGGTTTGGTTTGGTTTGGTTTGGTTTGGTTTTTGAGACAGGAGTCTCATTGATCCCATTGTTGGGTACTGCCTTGAACGAGACAGTACCCAACAATGACCTTGAACTCCCGACTCTCTGTGTCCACTTCACCTCCCGGGTGCTGGAATTACAAGCCTGTGTCATCACATTATTTGGTTCCGGAGATCAAATGCAAGGTTTCCTGCATGCTAGAGGCAAATACTCTACCAGCTGAGGCACACCCCTGCCCCCGGAGTAATAAATTCATCTTTGGATTAAAGGGGAGAGCATGTCCGCACCTGACGAAGACACCTTCCCCCAGGGGTGAATAAGCTCAGATGGATGCTGCTTCCAAAATCAGCTCAACAAGCTGGTCCTGTGTCAGGCTGTGAGTCAAAGGACAGACAAATAAACTGTCCCCTTTCTTGAGATGGACTCTTCATGTGGCCCATTGCTGACTTGGAACTCACTACGTAGCTGAGGATGACCTTGAACTCCTGATTGTCCAGCCTGGTCCTCCTAAGTGACAAGCACACATCACCACGCTCAGGTAGGAAGGCCCTGTCTCACAGGGTCCCGAGCTAGCTGGAGACACAGGCCCAGGTAAAGCGGTAAAAGCAGTTCCTACCATCCAGGGACAGTGCTGGCCTAGCCCACCATAGAGAAGGCGGTGGGGGGGGCCGGGAAGGCTCTCCCTAGCGGCCACGTTTGAGTGGGGGATTTGTCCCACTCCAGTGCCAGGAAGCAAACTCCATTCCTTCCCTTCAAAGTTCTTTGTTTTAGGAGCTGGCAGAGGTTTAGAACCAGTTACATTCTTCAGATACATAACGTCCTAATTAGTGGTTGCGCTCTGCAGCCAAACAAAGCAGCTGAAGTAGTGGCTTCAAAGACACCCTCTGACGACAGGCTGGGACACAGGAGGACTTTAAATAAGAATAAGCCCTGGCTGAGCGACATTTTGGCTGGCTTCCCGATCGACACCATTGATGACATGCCTAATTTACTCAGAACCGTCTTTTTCTGTTTGTTACCCTAGAGCCAGACCAATCTTTCTGCAGCGGTCCCCAAGGGGAAATATGAACAAATTCACTAATCAGAAGATGTATGTAAACTTAACCTTGAAATCTACCATTCCCTTTTAATGCAGTAAGCAAGCAAATTCTTAGACCCAGTTAAACGTATCTAGGAGGTTCAACTTTGCATAGACAGAAAATGGCTCTCTTCCCAAGCATGAGGTACTTAAGTAAGTGTTCACCCTTCAGGGTGGAATTGTAATTGCTGGTTCTCATTTAGGACAGTAGACCCAATTTCTGTTATTTTATTACATTTATCATGGATGTGGGGCCAGAGTCCTGTCACCTTGACAGAAGCTTGATTTGAGGAAAGGCAACCACAATTGAGAAAAAGCCTTCATAAGACTGCTTGTAAGCAAGCCCAAGCCCATGGGGCATTTTCTTCATAGTGATTGATGAGGGAGGGCCCAGCCCTCCGGACTGGTGGTTCCAGGGTGCTATAGGAAAGCAGGTTGAACAAGCCATGGGGAAAAGCCCTCTGTGGTCTCTGCATCAATTCCTGCCCCCAGGCTTCCATCCTGAGTTCTTGCCCTGACTTCTCTGGATGGTAGACTGTTAAGTGGAAGTGTAAGCTGAAATGAACCATGTCTTCCCCACGTGGATTTAGTCAGCGTTTTATCAGAGCAATAGAACCCTGACTTAGACAGTCTGCACGTGGGACTCAGAGACTCTCAGAAGTCCACCATGTACAGTGTCGGTTCCAGGAATTGGCCGTCAGCAATTGCCTTTGCCCAGAGAGCCATGTCAAGACTCATAGGTTCAATTCCTTTTTCTTCTTCTTCTTCCTTTTTTTTTTTTTTTAAAGAAAAACGAGATGGCTCACATTATGCAGCCCAAACTGCTCTTGAACTTTCAATTCTTCTGTCGCAGGCTCCTGAAAGTTCAGAGTATAGACGTGTACTGCACACCAGTCAATACTCAGCTTCACTACCCGCTCATTCCAGCACTGCTGAGGACCTGCCCTGCCGTGTGCACACGAGAGCCTCGGAGCTGACATCCCTCCATCCGGTTCCATTCCGAGCAGTTTAGCTCATTTGTCAGAAGAAAACTCGGCCTACACGACATGAAATCTTGTGATCCCATTGATACGACTCCCACTTCATGAGGGTGAGAACTTCAAGGCTGCTTTGGTCACTCTGTGTCTCCAAGAGCCGAGAACCAGTTAAATGGCTGAGCATCCAAGGGCATCTCCATGTAAGAGAACATGACAGCCTGTCTCGTCCTGGAAGGAAGAAGCTTGCCTTGGAGCAGGTTCTCTGTAGCAACCATACTGTTTCTGTCTAGATCATAATTTGGGGTGTTTTGGGGATCAAGGAGGTACTGAGGAAGTTTAATTTGCAGTATAGAGTCCTTTCCTCCCAAGGAAGGTCTCGTTATCAGTTGATACGGGTTTCTTATAAACTGAAATGTTACAATAACCACGGCGGATGAAGCACGTAGATAATACAAGGGAAGCCCCAGAAAACAACAAGGGAAGGAAGGGCTGGGATCTTCCCGCTGAAGATTGCAGAAAGCGGCTCTGCCAGGGCAGTGTGGCTTCGAATGCAAACCTTCAGTTCCCCCAAACACAAAGATTGCACAGCTGAATAAATAGCCACTTTGTTAGACTGGGTGCAGGGACAGGACCCCTGCTGCGGCACCCCGGGCCTGGCCCTTACTAGATATGTGGTCCTGCTCTGTCTTCATGTTACAGACATGTCAGACTCAACCTCAGGGGCTGACATACGTATTCGACTGACTTATTAACCACACTCGGAGCAGAGTCTTAGGTATTATTGTTATTCTCTTTAACAAAAGCATGTCTACGTACCAGAAAAGAAATTACCAGCTGTCTTACTCAGTGTTCTGTTGCTGTGCAGAGACACCATGACCATGGCAACCCTTATAAAGGGGCTGGCTTACAGTTCAGAGTTTGGTCCATTATCATTGGCGGAGAGCATGGTGGTGTGTAGGCGGACATGGTGCTGGAGGAAAGAGTCGAGAGTTCTACATTGGATGGGCCTGCAGTAGGAAGAGGAAGAGAGAAACTGGGCCTGGCTTGAGTGTTTGAAATCTCAAAGCCCACCCCCTGTGACACATTTCCTCCAACAAGGCCACACTTCCTAATAGTGCCACTTCCCTCAATTCTGAGCCTATGGGGGCCATTCCTGTTCAAACCACCACAACACCTATAACCTAAAGGCAGCTTCTACTTGTACCACACATACAGTGGCAAACTGGGCCTCCAAATGATGGGGGAGCAAGTCTAGTTTATTATTCCATTTTTTATGTTTATTTTTTATATATATGTCGGCATGTGCCATGTCACACATGAACTGACAAAGAATAGCTTTCAGGAGTCAGTTCTCTCCTTCTACTGCATAGGTTCCAGGAACTGCTTCATGGTGGGCCTCGGGTTGTCAGTAAACTCTTCACCTACTGAGTTAGGGTCCTTGCTGCTGCGCAGAGACACCATGGCCACAGCAGCTCTTAGAAAGGAAAGCATTTAATTGTGGGTGGCTTATCGTTTCCGAGGTTCAGTCCATTATTGTCACGGTGGAAAGCGTGGTGGCACACAGGCAGACACAGTGCTGGATGGGGAGCTGAGAGTTTTACTTCTTGATCCGCAGGCAGCAGGAAGCAGGGAACTGTGACTACACCAAGTAGTTGTTTACAGGAGACCTCAAAGCCCACCCCCTACAATGGCACACCTACTCCCACAAAGCCCACCTCCTACAGTGACTTCCTCCAATGAGGACGCACCTACTCCCACAAAGCCCACCTCTTACAGTGACTTCCTCCAATGAGGACACACCTACTCCCACAAAGCCCACCTCCTACAGTGACTTCCTCCAATGAGGACGCACCTACTCCCACAAAGCCACACCTGCTAATAGTATCACTCCTTATGAACTAATGGGGCCAATTACATTCAAACTACCATACCTACTGAGTTATCTGGCCAGTCCATGGGAAAACTAATTATAATAGTGCATACATATTTTTAAAGAAATCACAGCTGGAACTGGGCGGTGGTGGTGCATGCCTTTAATCCCAGCACTCGGGAGGCAGAGGCAGGAGGATCTCTATGAGTTTGATGCCAGCCTGGTCTACAAAGTGAGTTCCAGGACAGGCTCCAAAAGCTACAGAGAAACCCTGTCTCAAAACAAAACAAAACAAAACAAACAAACAAACAAACAAAAGAAAGAAATCACAAAGAAAGGAATAACTTGAACTTGACTCTACACAAGGAACTCTATAATACATAGCACATAATAATAGATAGTATTTTGTTCCCATCTTTATTCATTCATTTATTCAGCTTGTTTATAAAGTATTTCTTTCAGGCTGACATGGCACGGTATGATGGGAAAAGAGCGAGACGGAAATGACCTTCCCTTTAGGGGGTGTATGACGGGAACAGGTCCTATAGCAAGACAAAGACACAAAGGGACAGTTAGGCACAGCTCAGTACCTGATCCCTTAAGGATTGAAAATTGCTCTTAAATTGCAATATAGTGTCTGCTCCCTAGAAAAAGCCCCTTTCCCAAGGCCAGGCATTTGGAGGGCCTCCATTTCCTTGGAGACTTGAGGAAAGTTCCTGTTTGCTAAAGCAGTCATATTTCTTATCTCTGGCAAGAGGAACTGTGGCCCTTCCAATAACTATGTCAAGGTCAAAGCTAGATTTCCTCAACTCCTGATCTCAAGACAAACCCCAGCTCACCCATTT